CATTTGTAAAATACTTCACAGACCCCTTCCTCCATATTTGTAGCACAGTTTGGGAAGTGGGTGTTCCTGCTACCATTTTACAGTCAAGACCAGTGGTGGTCAGGTTGCCAAAAGTGTTTAATATTAGTATCCTTGTTACTGCAGTTGAGAAGATGACTCCAAAATGGAAGTCTTTCACCTCTGGTTCAGAAAACCAACCCCAAATTCACCACTTTGTTGCCCCATCTGCTATTTTGTTGCAAAAGGGGGAAAAGTGGTTGTCAATTTATCACTGTGTGCTTTTCAAGCCACACATACATTTAAAATCCCAGTTTGCCTGATAAAATGTGCTGTTTCATTTAGGATGCAGTAGAAAGCTTTGTCAGGATGGAGAATTGAGTCACTCAAGTGGAACTGAGGCAGAGCTGGGAAACTGCAGAATTTGGGCCCATGTCACACCGAGGAAGATTGAAGGTGATGGCCAATGCATGCCACTGACAGAATTTGAACTTCCTTAGATTTACTGACAATTTTGATCTAACACAGCAAAATTTGCAGCTTCACCTTAAGATACCTTCTGAGATTCAGAACTAAGTATGGTGTTTATATGTATTTCTGTCTTTCTCTTGTTTACCTTTTTATTAAGTCTTCTTAGTCCTCCTTTACCGTTATTGGATAATTTCTCCTTATGAGTAGCCTCACATTCTTTCAGACTATGGGACAAGAAGGTGACAAGGGGAAGGACTTGTAATTCAGAAGTGTATGATTATTCTGGGGCAGCAAGAAACCTGATCTTAAGTAGTTACAAAATGGAAGGTCCTGCTCTGGCAGCTGGTTTGAAAGAAGTTTCATAAATTTTACTTTGGGCTGGACACTGAGACTTGAGTAAAGGATAAAGATCAGCTCTTAAAACTTTGTGGGATGGATTCTGAATTTATTACAAGTCTTATTTGAAAGCTGGAGCATAGCTGTGCTGCTGCAGAAACACATTTTTCTTTCCTTCTTGTTCCAGTGGAGGATTATTCTGCTGATGTCCTATAGTTTTTCTCCAAGCTGTATAGGCAACTGCATGGGAGAAGTTAATATTCTGATTATTTTCACCGTTCCTGCCTGAATTTATGTACATAGAAAGAGGAAGAAAAACTGTTTGTTTGCCCTTGATGTTACATATAGAGAGCCATGGAAATCTTTTCACCTTCTTCCTGAGACGGAACTAATGATCACTACCTGCATCTTCTTGAGAGAGCATCAACTGATGCACTAATTAAACCCTAATAAGTCTTGTACTGGAAAACTATTATGTACCGTGTGGTACTTCAGACAAAATTAAAAATTTGATTTTGAGAGATACAGAAGAGCGAAGTTGTTCAGAATTTCACAGGCAGTTGAATATATTCTCAGTTACAGGTTCTTAGTACCATTTAGCTATTAATTTTTAAAGAAAACATTGGATTAAGAAATGTATTAATCCCCACTCCCAAAAAATGTTGGTTGCTCCCAACAAATCTTAGTAGCAAAAGCTATTTACAGTGTATTCCAGCTTTAGATAGAGGTGGAGATGAACCACGTTATCAAGACAAATTTGGAGCAGTGTCTCATTGTACCAGTGTAAGGTGCAGTTGAACACTGTATTCTGAAGATCCTTTAGACAGTGTATTTCCCAGTGTTACATTGGAAGCTGAGGTTTCATTTATTCAGCCAGATCACAAATAATTTAAATTCTCTAATGTGTCTAAATTCTCTAAATATGTTGGACCTTTCTGAACCTTTTTTTTGGTTAGACTATCAGATCCAGTTTTAAGATACAAAAGTCCTGGAACTGAATGTGTGAAATCTCTAAGTGCCTCATAATTTTAATTAAGCTTCTGTGGACTACATTTAATTTTCTTCTTTTTCATGCCATTGTCTTGTACTTTGACTTTTTTCAGGGATAAAAGTCGTGGTATTGAATGATAGTCTCAGTACCTGTGTTACAATGGGTGGGCTACCAATGAGACCAGAATGCTGCTATTATTCTCCTGGTAAAAGATTTTCTATGCAATACAAAGTACTAATTTAAAATAATGTCTTTGCAGTTTTCTATTTTACTTTGATGATATATTCCAAAATTACCTTTACAGCCTTTTCTACTTCACTACCACCACAACAATACAGATGCCTTAATTTTAATGATAAAAAACTTGTAAAAATTTGAAAACATCAAGTAATACTAGTTTTTTCTTTCAAGTAGTACAGAACACTCATGCCAAATATACACAAATGCTCAAAAATAGCATATAAGAAAATCTGTCAGAGTTTATCACAATGAAAATATATATGTTTGATGTGTCATGTAGAGGTGATAAGCAGTAATTTTCCACAGGATGCAAATAGTAATATATAAACTCTACTGTGCAGTTGAAATTTGGTTTATTAAATCCAGGCAGTAAAGGAGTGATGTGTTGGCTGCCCTTTGTGCTGTAGACATTCCCAAATAGTTAGATCAGGCCTTCATAGTGTACAGTTCTTTTCCACAGAAATTTGAAACCCATCAAAACATTTGCATTTCTTCAAGTAAAAGATGAACCATCACTTTAGGGTAACTTCATTTATTTGTCTTAATATTTTTTTGTTTGGTTTAGGAGAGACTGTCATAAATAATGGCGAACCTTGTTCACCTAAGGTAAGATTTTCTATTACTTTGCTTAGGTAAGATAATGAATGTAACTGAGTGATTTCACAGAAAAGTGACAGATGTTTTCAAAATAAGGATTGCCTTATTCAAGATAGATATGAAAATACAGAAGAATCAGATATTTTCAGATAGAGAAAAGAAACTACATTGAAATTCTAGGAATTCAGTATATTAGAACATTTTTGTGTTAATGTCCTGTATCACAGCTCAGTTGTTATGTCATATTTTTAATCTCATCTGCATGACTTTAAATGCAGAGTAACTGTTGTTTTTGGCAGTCATTTTTTGCTTGATTTGCTTAGCTCAGACTTAATTGCTTGTTACATGTTGGCTTTTGCTAAAGATAAATATTGATTAAAAATATTTGCTTAACAGTGTTTAATTGAACATCTGGTGAGTAGCTGTGATAGCCCTGGAACAAGCCATACTTTCAAGTGTTCTATTTATAAGTTTCTAGAGATCTGTTTATAACTCTTACATAATTTTTCTTTCTTTATTTTGTGCTTATTTCAAAATTAAAGAAACATATTCTTTTACTTTTCTACCATTCTCTAGGCACAAAATGCCTGTATGCTAGTAATACTAGTAATTCAGAAACCTTTTTCTGTAAAATTCCTTTGTTAACAGTATTTGTAATTTTTGCTTTCACTTTTTAAGAGCAAAAATCAGGAAAAAAACCCTGTTCACTGCTTGCTGGTGTAGTGCCAATTCCAGAAAGAGAAAACTGGAACAGGAAAGAACAACTATGTTGAAGATGTATTCAAGTCTAAATAAGTTTTGTTTTTTCATTAAAATCTTGACATTTATAAGGATCTTATTTACATTTGAAAACACAATATATGAATATACTACAAATGATTTGCTGAGATTATGAAATCACCAAACAAAGACTTATATAAAAATACGTTGCTTAATCTTTCGACAACGACACATATTTTGGGAATTACTTTTAGTAATTTCTTTAAATGATGATTCAGAGGCATTCCCTTATTTTATGTCATATGACTATGGCACCATGGAAGAAAAACTATTAAATATGAAAATATCATTTTAAAATAACAGTAATAGGTGTAACTACTTTTACTAATGCTATTATTTGTTACTATTTCAGATAATTGTGTGCCCATGAATACTGTCCCTTTATTCTTTCCCCTATAAGAACATTTAAAATACGTTTTTAATGCTGAATTGGTCTGCCAATCTTCTCATGACTGCTTGTGTGCATAAGTTAAAAAATTATGCAAGTATTTCCCTGATCAGCATTTAAATACTGAATTCAGGGATTTTCAAGAGTAAAAGTATTTTGCTAATACCTGGTATATCCAAAAGCCTTCTCCTTTCCAGTGAAAATAAGTTCCTTAGCATTTGAGAAGTCTATTGGGTATGGTAATTCCTAAAATGCAGGATTTGCAAGTTCTTGCCTCCCACTTACAGTGCTCACAAGTAGAATACTTCACCAGAAATGGTGGTGGTATTTTTTTAATTTAAAGAGGTTATTCTTTACCCCTGACACTACTTTTTTCTTGTGAGGTATGGCTAGACAGAGAACATCTAATTGGTTTTGGTCTCAGCTCTGTCAATTATCTCTTGATAAAGCTTTATAAAACAGGTTTTGAAGGAAGTCCTGTAAAGCAATTTACTTAATTTTGACAGACCGAGCTATTTTATGCGTACTTTATGTTCAATTTATTTCCCCCTCAATTGTTTGGTACAACAGGACACAAGGAAAGTTGGAGCTGTGGAGGAACCACTCCAGGCAGAAGAGAAAAATAAATCTGCAGATATTTCAAATCAGAAAGAACAATGCCTTGTACCATGTGATGCTCAAGCTAAAATTTTACAAGGGGACAAACATTACATGTGCAGTATGTATTCATAAAGAATACTTTCAGTGATGAGCTATGCAGTGCCATGCTATGCAATCCTCTCCTCTGCTACGCTATGCTGTGCAAATTT